GCACAAAGATCAAACCCTGTTTAGCTTTTTGAGTCCATTATCTCAGAAATGACTTTTGAAAAGGCGTGAATCTATTTTTTGTTCTAGTTGAAGTAATATAAAAATAGAAATCTATTTCTTGGCTATTGAAAAAGAAGAAAAAATCTGAATTTAAACCGGTGGAGAAAGGCAACGGTAAAACACTTTTAATATCCTTCCAAAAAGAAATGATGTAAATGCAAAGATATTAAAGGAAAAGAAGAAATGGAGAGAATGTCCACCTACTTTTTGAAAGTCCCATGACATTTAAAATAAGATTTTCTTCTACAAAAAGCAAATGACCCAAATGAAGGTCGTCCTGGGTTAGACGATAAACTACATCCAGCAGCAAGGCCTCTGATCAAGAGGTTTTGAGGAGCGTGGAACCATTTCTTAATTGCTGGTGTTTCCAGGTCCACCCTGATCCGGGGTGGTAGCACCTGTTAGGGTCCTAGCTATAGGAAAATAGTTAATTATTACCAGCAATACTTTTATGAAAAAATTATTCCCAGCAATACAATTTTGAAGGAAAAATATTACCAGAAACAGATTTTTGACAAAACAAAATATTACCAGCAATAAAAAATATTGTCGGCATCAAATAACCCATTGAGATTGATATGCTGCAAAACAAAATAAATCAAACCAATCTAAACCAAAGAATACATATTCTATTCATATGAATCTATCCAAAATGTTGTCGGCATTAAATAACCCATTGAGGTTGATATGCCGTAAAAACAAAATAAAACAAACCAATCTAAACAAAAGAATACATATTCTATTCATACGAATCTATCCTAAAAATGTTGTCGGCATTAAATAACCCATTGAGGTTGATATGCCGTAAAACAAAATAAATCAAACCAATCTAAACCAAAGAATACATATTCTATTCATATGAATCTATCCAAAAATGTTGTCGGCATTAAATAACCCATTGAGGTTGATATGCCGTAAAACAAAATAAAGCAAACCAATCTAAACAAAAGAATACATATTCTATTCATACGAATCTATCCTAAAAATGTTGTCGGCATTAAATAACCCATTGAGGTTGATATGCCGTAAAACAAAATAAATCAAACCAATCTAAACCAAAGAATACATATTCTATTCATATGAATCTATCCAAAAAATGTTGTCGGCATTAAATAACCCATTGAGGTTGATATGCCGTAAAACAAAATAAAGCAAACCAATCTAAACAAAAGAATACATATTCTATTCATACGAATCTATCCTAAAAATGTTGTCGGCATTAAATAACCCATTGAGGTTGATATGCCGTAAAACAAAATAAATCAAACCAATCTAAACCAAAGAATACATATTCTATTCATATGAATCTATCCAAAAATGTTGTCGGCATTAAATAACCCATTGAGGTTGATATGCCGTAAAACAAAAAAAAAGCAAACCAATCTAAACAAAAGAATACATATTCTATTCATACGAATCTATCCTAAAAATGTTGTCGGCATTAAATAACCCATTGAGGTTGATATGCCGTAAACACAAAATAAACCAAACCAATCTAAACCAAATAATACATATTCTATTCATACAAATCTATTCTAAAATAAAATAACCCATTGAGGTTGATATGCCGTAAACACAAAATAAACCAAACCAATCTAAACCAAAGAATACATATTCTATTCATACAAATCTATCCTAAAATGTTGTCGTCATTAAATAACCCATTGAGGTTGATATGCCGTAAACACAAAATAAACCAAACCAATCTAAACCAAATAATACATATTCTATTCATACAAATCTATCCTAAAATATTGTTGGTATTAAATAACCCATTGAGGTTGATATGCTGGAAAACAAAATAAACCAAACCAAACCAAATGAAGTACCCTCAGCATCGATCTATGGTTTTGGTACCTATCTGCTGTTTGTGGGTCACCTCGAGGTGGTTTAATGGTTAGTAAGCTTGTCTGACTAGAACAATTACGACTGAGTAGTGAGTTCAATCCTCACTGGGTGCCCCTTACCTTCGGCCTTGTGTCACATCCAAGCTACACTTGGAAAATCACTGTCTGCTCATGCGTGTGAAACATATTTTAGCGTCACGTGACAAGAATCAATTCAAAGAATTTCCATAAGTTCCTAGATTGAAACAAATTTTATTGGTGGTAGTTTGAAGCAAAGGACTTCCAAAATTTTTATTTTTTATTTTATTTTTATTTATTTATTTTTTTCTTTTGCAATGTGTTATATACTATACCTGTGAACAGTAATGGGTGTGTCCCAATCCTCATAAATACGTTGAACACTATTGTAAGTGGGAGTAATATACTTTCTAAGTAGTCCACTACTAGCAGTGGTTTACCTACTTCAAGCCGCTAGCGAGTATTGTATTTTGTTGATGTTATAACGATTACCATTTCATTTCCAATCTCCGTTTTGGTTATTCATCATTCAGTAAGCCTTTCTAGGTTACAACATAATGGTAGAGTTGTACTGACAACTAAAATCTGGCGGAAAAGAGATGTCAGATCAATTCTTCTGGAGAGAAACGTTATGGTATAACCTATATTTTATTTCTGTCTTAATTATTTACACTGTTTATATTCGGACTATTGTCCTTATCTTTGTTGTTGCTACCACAAAGTTTTGGCTGTTGTGCCCTCTAGCCTTCCTCAGGTGTATATCAGTCTAGGAATACTGCTGCTGCTGTCTGTCGTGTTTTGACTGCTGCGGTAGTTGCAACCTAATCAGCAGCTAGGTCAGGCTTAAAGGTCCAAGTTCACCACAGCAAATTGTCATATTGGATGAAAGCGTTGGTTTGCGTATTTGGTGACATAGGGGTTGTGAGTTCAATCCCAGGGTCGAGCAGTGTGTACTTGCACTCAGTGGAGCAATAATTAGAACTAGAACGATATCCTTAGACATGAGCAGTGAAATGAGGACAGTCTGCTCCTCTTTGATTAAATAAAGGGTTCAGTTCAGAATTACCCAGATCGATATACACCTGATGAAGGACGGAGGGCACAACGGCCGAAACGCTGTGCTAACAACAACAAAGATGAGGACAATTGCCCGAATAGAAACAGTGTAAATAATTCGGACATAAATTACAAATAGTGTAACCTATACATGTTCAAATATCACGTTATGAACGGAGGAGAGGCAAGGGGCTATCTTAGTTTAATAACAATAACTTATATCAATCTTCCTATCTCTCTATCTATACATACATGCAAATATATATATATATATATATATATATGTGTGTGTGTGTGTGTGTGTGTGTGTGTGTGTATATATATATATATATATATATATATATATATATATATATATAGAGAGAGAGAGAGAGAGAGAGAGATATATTGTGAAATGGACAAAGTCCGACAATTATTTAAAGACATTTATATTTTTATACATTCTTTTTTATAGATACAAATATTAAAGTAAATGCTCTGTTTATAATAAACAGTATTAACAACTTTTACCGGCCTGAATGTCCGAGAAATTTTCATAGAAAATATGTGTCCTCCGACAGGAATCGAACCTGTATCTTATACGGAACTGTCATATAGCCTGACGTGCTTTACCGATTTAGCCACAGAGAAAATCATGAGGAATTGCAGTTTAAAAACAGTAAAATCGACCTTGCTAACCGAAACGCTCTTCTGTGGCTAAATCGGTAAAGCACGTCAGGCTACATGACGGTTCCGTATAGGACACGTCATGGTCAGTAAACGAACGTATATATATAATAATAAGTACGGGCTAATTACCTAAGTTATTAAACACTATTGCTAAATGGATGACAAAATTTAAAGAGACAGGCTCTGTCCATGATAAGCCACGGACTGCAAAATATATTACCCTTTGTATTGCTAATGATAAAGGACAAAATATAGATTTACTTCTTTCTAATCCTTTTTACAAATTATTTTTATCGCAAATACAAATAAAGTTATAAATTTTTTAAAGTGAACACGAACTTTATGGACACCCTGTATAATTAATAACAAAAAAAGGGTTAATAAAAAATATAATACTATATTATCTATCAAATTATATCTCCAATCCATTTTAAAGCTTCAAGCTCAGAAAATTGCTCTTAATTTCAGATCATTAGAAAAAATATATGAAGAGAATAGAGGCTCAGTGCCTGACTGCTGATCTCTCTTCTGATCTAGATCTAACAGCTCAGTGAATAAAAACTGGCTTGTAACCTTCAATAACTTCAAAATCAAACAAGTAACGTTCCATTATCAGCGAGCAGGCATTGAATTTCCTCCAATCGTAATGGACATTTGTACTATAGATGAGGCTCCTTGCCTAGAACGTCCACTGTTATTCAAATTCACTCCTAGTGGATCTCATATCTATGATTCGTCGGTAAAAATGCTCAGAAAAGGGTTGGTTACTTGTGCCGCTCCAGAAAGTAACTGACTCCTCCCACCATGCCCTGGAGTTACAAAAGTCAAATCAGATCAAAAATGGAGGATGGCAACCATATTTGGACTTAAGTTTCTCAATCCCCACTTTCGGGACTTGATAGAGTTCAAAAACTTTCACACAACTTTGGGAAAACTGAATTAGTTTCACAGACTCTTTCCCCGCAGACGCAAAGACAGCAGCCTATGATTAGGTATATTTGCTGTTTTCATGGCGATATTCAATCACCCCCCCACTCGAGTGTGTCATGTGACACAAGGCCTTTTTAACGTGGGCATTCCGAGCCCGTGGGCTCGGCCAAAAAATATGCTGTTTGCTGTTTTCATGGCAGATATTCAGACAAGCTGCAGTCATTAGTTCCATCAGTTCAGACCACTAAAGCTAGGACACGCAATGCCACGTATACTGGATCCATATTCGCCTCGTATTCCATTAGTAAGGGGGAAGTACAACACAGGCGGCGTCTTTCCAAGAACTGCTACTTTGTGAAATAAACACCAGAGAGGATGATTTCCGATCACTGCAATTCTCTTCAATTCTAGGGTCAATCGTTATAGATAGATAAATAGATATGAAAAGAATGAGATAGATAGATAGATAGATAGATAGATAGATAGATATGGACAGAATGAGACAGATATGAACAGAATTAGATAGATAGATAGATAGACATATAGATAGATAGATAGATAGATAGATAGATAGATAGATAGATAGATAGATAGATATAAAAAGAATGAGATAGATATGAACAGAATTAGATAGATATGAAATGAATGAGATAGATATGAACAGAAATAGATAGATAGATAGATAGATAGATAGATAGATAGATAGATAGATAGATAGATATGAAATGAATGAGATAGATATGAACAGAAATAGATAGATAGATAGATAGATAGATAGATATAAACAGACTGAGATAGATAGATAGATAGATAGATAGATAGATAGATAGATAGATAGATAGATAGATATGAAATGAATGAGATAGATATGAACAGAAATAGATAGATAGATAGATAGATAGATAGATAGATAGATAGATAGATATGAAATGAATGAGATAGATATGAACAGAAATAGATAGATAGATAGATAGATAGATAGATAGATAGATAGATAGATAGATAGATAATCTACCGAGTGTGAAGAAAGTATGCAAAAACCTAATAGAATAAACTTGTCTACGATCATCTTAGAATATTTCCTTACGAGCAATAGTTTTTTTTGTTGTTGATAACATCTGTAAAATCTTTAGTTTTTATCTAAAAATTTAATTAGCTATAAATGACATCATCTTTTATATCAGCATCTTTTTCGCGGCCTTTCCCATACTAATTAGAAAAAAATAAGCAGAGATTGTAAGGTTGTAATAATAATGATGACACTGTGATTATATCTATTTATTGCTATTACTTCTTTAATTTTCTTCTTTTCTTCAAAATCTTTCATAACAACTTTGAACAAGAAATATATGTGTCATTTCTTTTTAAATACAGCACTTTCTAGCGATGCAGGAACTTTATAAGCGTGTGATCGTATACAGATCCCCAGTAAATGGTCTAGATACATTTAAGTCTAATTGCGGAAATGTCGAGTACTCTATTGACAACTCGTACTACACCCTTGTGCAAATTAATTGAAACAACTGCTTTAGTTTCCTTTCTTTCACCATTCGGTCAGTTTTAGACCCACTGGAGTGACAGGGAGTAATCGATTTCTATTTTTTCCACAGATTAGGTCATTTGCAGTGGTGTGCACTAATATGAATCTATTTCAATGAAATTTGTTCAGCCTTGAAAAATATTGCGTCATCCGTGATTGCATTAGATTTTTATCACGCCCAGACACTATTCTCTCGACTGTCAATTAGTTGTCCTAGGGCCATTGTTTGCGATGGACCTTACACCATGTTGTAGTGTCTTCCCTCTAATGAATCTATTATGGCCTCTTTCATTTATTATATAGTAGGAAAAGTAAACCTTGGGGGAATAGTGATAGACTGAACGCTAGTCAACCAATACAAACTACAAGTCGGGTAACACACTTCTTTTGTATTTACTGTTCAATATACTATTTATCTGCAACCTCTTGTTTTGTTATTTCTTAACCAATAACTTGGTCACAATACTCCGAGGAAGCGTACGAAAATTTGTAACGCTGCACAAACATATGGCAAGACTTACCAGTGAGCAAATCAAAGTACTTCCGGAAACTCTTATGATTTAAATTCAATCGAGAATCTGTGGTCATTCTGCAAGGAACGACATTGTGGAATGGACATAAGAAGTACTAACATGTGCACTGGGTCATGTTGCAGTGGGAAAATATGAAAAATAAGTAAATAATAATGGAATTATTTGTTTTGTTTCAAATGATTTGCACAATGGTGTACTTTCGTCCCAGCATTCTCTAGTCACCGAATCTCAAGCTCGTGTTGAAGGTGTGTCGAGTTCAAATTCGAGTGAGTCATTTTCGTTCACTTCTGACTATTGTCCTAAGAAAAGACGTGAATTCATCTTCTTCTGGCTTCTCTAGCCTTGGATGGCAGCCAGTCTAGGGGAATGAAAATTTCAACCTCTGCTTGCTTGCGATCTTATTCCATAACAGGAAAGGCTATGAAAGTAAATCCAAGTAAGAAATCCGAGGTTTAGACTTGAAGGCGATTGACTGTCAAAACTGACCACTTCATGCAGCTAAACCGGTCCCCTATGCATAATACCCTGGGTTTAGTTGGTTTTGCTGAGTGTTGAGCCCTATTGTCTGGGTAGTGCAAAGCCTGTATACATCATCACCCAAGCCTGCGCACTGGAGAGATTACTCCAGTCTCATCACGCAGTGATGTAGACCAACCAATAAGCCTGAATGATGAATGACTGAACCAGTAGAAAAATAAATTTCCCCGTGAAGATTATTATTGTGGTCATACTATTGACGTTCTTGTTAACATTATTATTATTAATATGTGTTTGGGAAAATATGACCCCATGGAAACTAGAAAATAGCCAAGGAACACAATGATACCATTAAAAAGAGCATGATTTCAGATTCAAAACACTATTTTTTCCACAAAATTACTACCATTGTCTTTGCATTTTTAGTAGGGAAGACCAAGATCTTGCATGGGCCTAGGGTGTCCCATGCACCGTAGCAACAACTGCCTAGATGTGCTCACATCCATATCTTGGTGTCCGTAAATGTCAATGAATATAAATGGGTGAAATTCTTTCTTCATGAATTCATTGACATACCTCTACTTCGTACACATTTATATATATATGTGTGTGTGTGTGTGTGTGTGTGTGTGTGTGTGTACGTTCAAAAATATTCTTAACTGTTAATAACAGAAAACTTTTTTAATAAAACAGCTTTCGACAAGTATCACATTCATTTTCGTTTTTGAATTTTTACCCGAAATTATCTAAAATTGAGGAAAAAAATAACATCTATACCTGAAGATGGTGAATGTTTTCACCGAAAGTACTTTCGAACAATATGGACCAAACATATAATCCATTGTACAATTAATAAAAACAAGGGTCGCGTCGTCCATCGAGTGTTCAGTAAGTTAACGCCTTCTTAAACTGTGAGCGAATTCAATTCGCCATTAATTACATTAACTTTATTGATTTATTCTTTGAATGACTGTTTTACAATATAATATATATACAATAATATATATATATATATATATATATATTGTTTGTGAATATGTGCGTGAGTGATCGTGATCCTACGGAACACATGCATTTACTTCACTCTGAGTCAATATCCATTCTCCCCATCACCACACACAAGATGGCGGGATGTAACACGAGGCCGTATTTAATAGGGTGACCATACGCGTACATATGCACCAAGGACAAAAATTACTTAGTCTCCGCTCCGACTGGTGTTAGTACCCACCACCACACGCATCCCTTTAGTGCCATGAGGGTGATGCTGCTGCAGGGTTGTAATCCTCGGGACCAGACGTTCCTCAAAGCTTGTCCGTGAACTGTTCGAAGCCAGACATCCCTCATTTATTTGTTGTGTTCTGTCTAAAGACAGAAGCCCGATTGAGAGATAAAATGTAGTCCGCTCGAAAACAGCTACTACAGTTTGATCCCAACCCGAACTCCGGGGTATACACTAGGTAGAGAAGCAGGGAATGATACTTTGAAAATACTATGATCATTGACAGAGCATTCGATTGCATATAAATAATCTGATCAATTTTAACAAGTACGGGCATCCATCAATTAATGCGCATTCGATTAATGCCTTTTCGATTACTGCGCTAAAATTTTTATATACCAAAATTCGATTAGTGCATACATAATATTCGATTAGTGCGGTAAACATTCTTCAGTTTAACGATAGTAATTGAAAATTGATTTTTTTATAGTTACCAATGCACACATTATTCCCACTAATCGAGGTATTCCTGCACTATGCTCGTAATAATAATTTTGAGTTGTGCCTGAACTGGATGTAGATAAAAGTGCTTAGTCCGTTTTTCTTGAATAGAAATTTACTCTTGCATACCTCTACCTTGAGTGGCGCTTAGGCATTGTATTGGGTAAGCAATAGTAAAAAAAAAAAGATCCATTAGTTTATACCAATAATCAAATGCTGACTGTACCCAGCATCATTGGAGCACTTGGCACAATCCTGAAAAGTCCTGCAATATGATTGAATAACATTGTTAAATCATTGAGAATATTCCAGCAATATCAACAGCGATGTGCGTGACTAGCCATATTTCGGATGCCACTGCGCAACTGTGAAACAATGAAATAACAAACGACTGAAAAATCTATACCTAATGGCAGAGATTACGTGTAAAGAAGATTGTCTTATTGCTGATAACTGATCTCCTTATTTTTTGAATCATTTCACCGCAAGCAAGGCGATAATGTCACTAACACGCAAGGGGATGTAATGCAGTGGAAGAGAATGACAATAAAAGAAAAGGTTTATGGAAGACAGAAGATAGTTACTGATGTTCCATTTAATTTTTTAAGATTGTAGGTGGCAGGAAAAAAATCGAAAGATGGTGTGAAGTGGGAGAAAAGAAACCATTAAAAAACTATTAAAAAACTATTAAAATAGAACTTCACACATTAAATTATTTCTTTTTTGTTTTAAGAGCTTTTTGCAGTGAAAACATTAATATCAGCCATTGACATTTAAAGAAATTTTGATTTGAATAATTGAATAATCCAAGTAGAAGTGTTTTCAGCAAAACAATGATTCAAGGATGTCTAGTTGAATATTTTACAATGGTGTGAGATATTGCAAATATGTCTGATTTTGTTTTAAGACCTTTTTTCCCCTTGTTTTTCATCGTAATTACTTTACTTGATTGCATATAATTTAGATTTAATATTAAAGTATTATAGTTAAGCTAGGTACAAGTACAGGTAATCTATAGCAACTTAATAAGCATTAGCCTACCGTACAAGATATTTCTATTTTGCATTATAATACCCAGGAGATTAAAAAGAAAAAGAAAAATATGGTAACAGGGTCTTCACTTTCTTCTCTCCCCAAATATTTTGGTTCATGTTATTTTTGTGGTTTAAATTCGAGAGACTGGCCTAAATTGCTTAGTAGAGGCTAATCCTGAGTGACAAAGTGTAGATATTGTACTTGTCGTATTGTCTCGTCGTCTTTCGTACACTGCATATTTATATTCTCTCAAATCTCGTGGTCGTCGTGATTTTGCGTTAATTTGTTAGTATAAAACAATATGGCTTCACCACGAGATTCTTTTTTACGTACGGACGTCCATGAGGTAAGTTTTATTTTTTTTCCTCAAACTACAATTTTCTGATGGTGCTGATAATCTCTTCACCTGATTTTAAAAGACCGATAAAATTGGACAGATAATTGTCCTTATTAAAAAATAAAATTAACTAAAAGAAATTCTAATAAAACCTACCTTATAATATCTGCCATCAACCATCACCAAGGAATTTTACATATTAGATTATTTCTTTCTTATTCGCAACATCTTTGAAGCAGTTTCCCATATCTCTAATATTCTCCATCTGTGACACTTGAAAGTATTTTCCTTTCTAGTCACATGACCAGATTAAGTAAATGCTACAAATTATCCTCCCTTCAAGTGTTAAGTGATTTTACTGATTAAAATGTCATCAGCAGAAATGCCACAAAATAATTCATGTTTGTCACAAACAAATTTACATTGAGTGACAAAAATCAATAAAAAGAAAATTTATTTTCTTTTATAAAAAAAAAAACAGTAAAGTATTACTTTATATTGTCAATCACAAATGGATTTTTTTCATCATTTTACCCCAAGCAAGGTGACAATACCGCTAAGATGCAAAGGGTTATTGAGAAAGAAAGAGAATGAGAAAAATTAAGTGAGGAGAAAGGGCAATAAAATAACAGGATTCAGGTAGACAAAAGATGGTGATTGATGTTGCATTTAAATTTTTGAAGATTGTATATGGCAGAGAAGCAAGAAGTCGGAAGAGAGTTCCACAGGTGAGAAAAGAAATTATAAGAGTAGAACTTATGGTTACATCTAGCCATTTCAACAGTAAAACAATAAAACCTAT